GCCCATGTGTCACCCCAGGAGGGTGGGCTGGGCTTGGCAGGAAGTCTGGAGCCAAGGACAGGCAGGGGGAGCTGCTGATGGGAGGGGAGCCCAGGAGCCCGGGCTCTGGGGCAGGAGGGTCCACAGGCTGGGCTCCTATCCCCTGCGGGGGTCGGGTGTCGGCATGCCAGAACTGGGAGCCCTAAAGTCCCTGGTCCCTGCACTCTGGATGAAGTGTCCTCTTCCTCCCGCTTGCTTCCTTGGCCAGTCCTGGGCCACACTGAGGCTGGCCACATCCTCCTTGGTGACAGGGTCATTCTCTGTTCCATGCTTGTCTGATCCTGACCCCAGCAGGGTCCACTGTGGCACCGACTGGCCATGAGGGCCTCTTCCTACAGCTGAGGGGACCTGCTCATTCGGTGGAGCCTGTGTCCAGTCTGTCTGACCGAGGCTCTCTCTCAGGCCCTCAGGGCTGGAGGACTTAGCCTGCCCCACAGGGAGCCCCCACACCTCTTTCTTTTCCACCATTTCCCTGGGACGGCCTGGAATACTGTCCCTGGGGCCCAGCCCCGAGCACCCAGAGACTGTCGGACTGTGACCCCTCTCCCTTCTCAGGGGCAGGGCCTGAATTCGACAACCAAGCTCCGCAGGCCGGAAGTGTGCACAGGGCTGCCACAGTTGTCTTTCTGAACACGGCTCTGACTTTGTTCCTCCCTGCTCAAAAACCTCCCCGGGTTCCACCTGCAGACACAATCTCAGGCTCTGTCTGGCAGCCCCAGCCCCTCCTGCGCTGCCCCCTGCCCAGCTCTCCTGCCTCCCGCCTGCAGTTGTCTCATTGCATCCAGGCAGCCAGGACCGCCTGCAGACGCCTGCCTCATGCTGCCGCCTCAGCCTCGATGCCCCGTGGGGCCTGCTGCCTGGGACCCTTGTGTCCTCAATGCCTGGCTCCAGCGCCCCCGCGTCTGTGAAGCCCTCCCTGCGTAATTTGGCGTGTCTCCCTCTGCAGTCACCTGCTCTCACGCCTGCCCAGCTCCTCCCCGACACTGTGCACCCAGCGCCAGCTCTTCCCTGTGACAGCCCTGCAGGCTCATCGTCCTTCCCTCTCTGTGCTGTGGCGGCACTGACTGAGGATTCTACAGACACTCGTAGGTGCTAGTGGTGCAGCAGACACGACTGGTCACTGGAGACGAAAGATGATCAAGACTGTGTCCCTGGCTCTGCCCGTGAGGAGCGTGAGGACTGCTTGTGGGGTGACCATGGGTCCAAGTGTCCCTCAGGCCTGGGGAAGGACACACACAAGATTCTGGAGTGACACAGAGGATGGTCCCTGACTCTTCTTCTCTGAGAGATGTGAGCGAGTTCACAGAAGAGGCAGTATCTGAGCTGGGGTCTGAAAGAAGAGAGCTTGGCAGATGGAGATGACAGGGAAGGACAACCCAGGTACAGGGAACAGAATGTGCCAAGAAACGGAGAAGGGAAAGAAGATGGCCATGAATTTGCCCTGCAGGCCATGTGAGGGCAGTGTCAGCATCACTTACATTGGTGTTTCTAGTGTCTATCACTGGCCTTGAGGAAGAGGAGACATCAATAAGTACGGAGGGAATAAATGAATGAGTGGTGCATTGGGAGGACAGAACAAAGTTCAGTGTGAACAGGGCTTGAGAGAAGTTATCCGTGGGGCATGAGATCCTGCGAGGGCAACATTCAAAGAAAACAGGTTTGGAATTTTCAGTTTGACTGGGTCAGGGACTCTCAGCTAGATCTCCAATCCCTGAAGTCTCCCTGGAGCTGTGCAGTGGCCCCTGGGGGCGCTGGGGGCTGGCTCCTGTCCACAGCCCATTCCCAGCCTTGCAACTTGCTCTCCAGGGACTGTATCCTCCCATCCCAGAAAGGCGGCAAATGCAATTACCTAGCAAGAGACCAGATAGACCAGAAATTGTTAGACAAAGGATTTGTGTTTCTGATCAGCAAATTTATTTATATCAAAAAATAGTTGTCTTAATTCCTTTCTGGAAGAAGGCAGAGTGTGAAAAAACCCAAACAAATAAAAATAGGAAATACTTTACAAAAGTATACAAATTAAATTCATTAGAGTGTGCATGTAATGAAATACCTCATCCTTATTTAAAAGAATACAATTACCCAAATCACTGCTGTCCTGGAAATCCTAGAAGAAGTACTTTGTGTCTATAACACAAGACAGAACTAACAGCAGGTGACTGTCTACAGTATGTCTCAACTGTGTTTTCTCATTAAACACTCACAATCCTGGGCAGGAGATGTTATCCCCGCATACAAAGGACAAAATTCAGAGTTGAGCCAAAAACCGTGCCAGCCATTCTGGCAGATATCAAACTTCAGAAGAGGAGAAGAAATGAGGATGTCCAAGGACAGCAATGACAAGCTGTTGGTGAAGCACGTGGCACAGAGGAACGAACACGAGCTTTGATGTCAGGTGCTTTTGAATCTCTTTCTGCCACTTGCTGGCTTGGGGCAAGTCGGTTCAGCTCTCTGTCCTGCCTCATTTACAAAGAGGAGGTGCTGTAGCTTCCCAGACAGGGTTGCTGTGCAAATGGGATAATGAAGGCAGCGGTCGGGTAGTGTGTGCTTCCTTTAGGAGATCTCAGCACATACCATGGCTCTTTTGGAACAAAGATGAGCCTGGAAATTTGGGCACTAGGGAGAAAACAGCAGCATTTTAGGTCACAAAGAAACAAGTGCACGCTGCATACGAGCCTATATGAGGTTCATAAATGGGCAAAACAAATCTAGATAAAAGTCAGAATAGTGGTTAACATTGAAGGGCTAGTAACTGGGAGGCAGCACGAGGAAGGCTTATGCTGTTTGTGTTCTATGTGTCGATTTGGGTGGTGATTACATGGATGAGTTCAGTCTGAACATTTAATCAGGCGGTACCCTTAAGATTTGTCCACGTTTAGTATTTGTCCACGTTTAGCATGCACATAATACTTCAAAAAAAGGTGTTTCAAGGACACTTTATTATTATGGATTTGTTCATTCTTGTAATTTGTCCTTTATCCATCTGGAGACCAGGTAAATTTATAATATACATATAAATTGTATCTTATTCGTGAACTGCACTTTTTGTTGTGCAGTTATTGTCATTACCTCTAATAATGTTTTTTTTGCCTAAAATCCATTTTGTAAGTTATTAATATGGCCATACCAGCTTTCTTTTGGTTAGCATTTACAGTATATCTTTTTTGTATCTTTTTACTTTCAATTCTATGCATCTTTATGTTTTAGATGTTTCTTAAAAGTAGCATATAATAAAATTTTAGATTTGCAAACCAGTCTGATAATATGGTGAATACAATGACTTGTATATTTTATTTATTTATTGAGGAGAAGGAAAGAAGAGTTTATTAATTTGCTGGCAAAGGAGGAGATTGGCAGACCGCTCCTCCATGCAGGTATGCTGATGGGTGCCAGCTCCCCACGTCCTATTGAATCTCCATTCTGAGCTTAATCCACACACCTCCTCTGGCAGACAGTGCTCTAAGATGCTCACTTCCCCACCCACTGGTATTCACACCTTACTGCGATCCCCACCAAAGCTATGAGATACCACTTCTGAGGTTTAGTTATAAACGACTGTGACTTCCATCTTGCATGAGCTCTCCCTCTCTCAGTGACTCGCTCTTATGAAGCAGGTTCCATGTCGTGAGCTACCCTGTGGGGAGGCCCCATTGAGAGCAACCTCTGGTCAACACACAGGGAACTGAGACTGTCGGTCCAACAGCCAACAGCCTGTGAGGAACTGACGCCTGCCAACCATCATGTGAGTGAGCTTGGAAGCAGATCCTTCCCGAGTTGCGTATCGAGATGCCTGCGGCACCTTCTGACGCTCTGATTGCAGCCTTGGGAGAGACCCTGAGGCAGAGGGCCCAACTGAGTCCTGCTAGGGTTCCTGACCCACAACTGTGACATAATAAACATTTATTGTTTTAAGCCATTAAACTCTAGGGTAATTTTTAATGCAGCATTAGAATACTAATGTACCTCCTGATATCTCTTTGCAGTTTTATTTGTATGTCATTCATTTGTTGTTCACTCAGTCTCCAAATGCTCATTGAGACCCACTATGTAAGCTTTAGAGGAATCCACTGTTGAACACAGTCTTCGGGAAATGTATGCACCAGGGAGAAAATAGCATCACACGTCCAATTCACACTGAAAGAAGTGCACACTGTGTATGAGCTTGTATGAGCTTCATAAATGGGCAAAATGAATCTAGGTAGAATTCCAAATAGTGGTTAACTTTGGAGGCCTAATAACTGGGAGGAAGCACAAGGAAGACTTACAGGGCACTGTGTGTGTTCTGTATATGAGCATCCCTAATCTGAAAATCCAAAACCCAGAAGCTCAAAAGCTGAACTTTTGAGCACCGACTTGACACTCAAAAGAAATGCTCACTGCATTTGCAGAAAGAATTTGCATTTTTCCATTAAGAATAGTGCAAATTTTCCAAAATTCAAAAAAATTCAAATTCTGAAACGCTTCTGGTGCCAAGCATATCAGATAAGGGATACTCAGCCTATATTTGTTTTGTCAAAATAAAAATGAGATTTAAAATGTAAATTTTAAACTGAACTGGTAAGAGTTAGTTTTACAAGCTGAGCCAAGACTAGACCAATTATTAGCCATATGGTTGTACAAATATGAGCTTAAATAGTTGTAGCTCTGATTTTATAGGACCTAGTGCAAAAAGCATTTCTTAATATTATTAGTAAGTGCTTGTCAGACAGTAACACAAGACTATCTCCCTCCATAATCTGCCTACTGTTCATGTCATTTTTACCCCAAATTCCACTACAGTGCAGAAAAACAATGTGCATGTTAAAGATATATATTTCACAAAAGAAAAATATGTGTGTATATTATGCACAACTACATCTACATATACCTGTATGCATATATTGATTGATAGAGACAGAGATAAAAAGATAGAGATACAGCAATAGAGATTATAGAAAATAATATAGCGTACATGTTAAATATTTGGCTACGATCATGTTGAACTGACATAGACTTCCAGAGGTAAGGAGAAAACCCAGGAAAAACAATAAAACAATAGCCATGAAACTCAAGGACATAGTCTTTGCAAAGAAATCCTTTGCCTGCAATACTCAACAGAGACTTTGGGTGGTGGCAGCTGAAAATTTTCTAACAAATGAGTTTGGAGCATCTTCAGTTGAGGTGGTCACAACCTCTTGGCTGCTCACAGCTCCAGGAAGACTCAGGTGGGTCACAACCTTTGTACCTTTACTGCATCTAAAGAGCCCCATCCATTCTGCCCAGGACTGTGGACAACTCTGAAACATCCCAGGTCACTGAGGTGTCCTTCTGTCTCCAAACACTTTCAGGAAAGCCATCTTTACATCTTTGTTCCTGAGGCTGTAGATGATGGGATTGAGGAAGGCAGAGACAACGTTGTAGAACAGCGCCAGCTTCTTGTCCCGCTCGGGGTCATACCAGGACCCGGGCCTCATGTACATCATCATGCATGGTGCATAGAACATGGTGACCACAGTGATGTGGGAAGCACATGTGGAAAAGGACTTGATCCTCCCCTGGGATGAGCGGATTCTGAAGATGGAGGCAAAGATGCGCATGTAAGAGGCCAGGATGAGGGAGAGTGGGACCAAGAGCAGGGTGAAACCCAAGATGAAGTCCAGCCGGTCGTTGAAGGATGTGTCTGCACAGGCCAACTTCAGGACAGCAGGGACCTCACAGAAGAAGTGGTTTATCTTGTGAGGGCCACAGTAAGGCAGACGCATGGTGAAGACAGTGTACACCAGAGACGAAGCTATGCTAATGCACCAACACACTATGACCATCTTGATACAAATGGGACGGCTCATGAGTAGGCTGTAGTGAAGGGGAAAACAAATGGCCACATACCTGTCATAAGCCATAACAGCATAGAGGACACACTCAGCAATACCCAGGACTAAAAAGATGAACATCTGGGCAACACAAGCTCCCCAGGAGATGGTTCTCTTTGGAAATACCATATTAACCAACATCTGAGGCACAGTGGTGGTGACATAGCTCATGTCCACCATCGAAAGGATACTGAGAAAGAAGTACATGGGTGTGTGGAGGCGTGAGTCCAGGTAGATGAGGGTGGTGATGAGTCCATTGCCCAGCAGAGTGATGAGGTAGAGGAGGAGGAAGAAGGTGAAGAGGGCCATTCTGACCTGTGGTTCACTGGAGAAGCCAAGGAGGAGGAACTCGGACACAGAGCTGTGGTTTTCCTTGCCAACGGTCTGCATGGCGATCTGCCTATTAAGGAGAGACAAAGACTTCCCTGTTCTGTCCTTGGTCCTGGGGAAGGGAGGATGGGATTGACAGAACCCGAACCACACACACACAACAGCATGCACAGTAACTTACAGATTAGGTCAAACCTTTGTTGAGTTGGACAAAAAGGTCAAGAATCTAGGGCAGCCGTGCTGGTGGGCAGTAGGTCAGAAGATCTGGATTCATGCCTGTAATGCAGCAAAGGATGCCTGACTGGTCACGGGGTCATCTCTGGAAACCACCCTCACCCTAGAAGACAAGGAATTAGGTAGTCACGTTTGTAGCAGGGAACCAGACCAACCCCTTCCTACTGCCGAGTTTTATCAGGGCTGCACAATTGTCCCAATCTGGAGTGAGCATCTAGATGCCTCTGCTGAGAACTTAACATGATGACACTGACTGTGTCTGTGGGCTGTGGGATACTTTCAACTCAGAGCTAGGGTGGTGGCAACACAAAGTCACATGTAGCTGCAACTATAGAGGAGAGGAAATAGGAGGTCCTACAGAGATGAGGAATGACATGCTAGGGACAGAGGGGACAGACCTCACAGCCCTGAGCACCCAAGACATGGACCCCTGGCTCCTGGCTTGCTGCTCCCAGTCCCCCTGAGGCCTGCCTGGGCCTTGTTTCCTGTACCAGGTATAGGAGGAATTTTCTGTTGAATCCTTAGAATTACCACCCCAGGACCCCATTGTTCCATTGTTCCCTGAGTGTTCCATGGTTGTCACTTACAGCTGTGTGACCTTGAGAGAATCCCCTGTGCTCCCTTGGCCTAAGTCTCCCCATCTGTTAAATAGAGATAGAACATCTACGACAAGGAGCATATGAGATGCTGTATATCAAGACATCATGACAAATAAAAACACTAGGCAAATAAAAAGGGTTAGTATAAGTGGAATGAACTGGGAAATCAGAAGCGCTGGGGGTAGTCCTGGCTTGATCTTGGGTAACTCCATATCCCTCTCTGAGCTTCACAGCCCCATCTATAATATGAGGCTGTTGTGGCCTCAATGGCCCCAAAAGGCCCTTCGAGCTCTGGTGTTCTTTGGTACCAGGAGCACCAGCTGCTGACCTCTCATTGCCTCAGTGCCTGAGCACCATGGGTAGGGCTGAGCGCAGCAGCCCGTTGAGCAGGATTGTGTTGGCAGGAGATTCATTCCAGGAGCTGCAGACACACACCCAGAGAATATACAGACATAGACTTGGGCCTCAACACACCCGAGCCTGGTAACCTCTTTACCTAGTCCCGAGTCACTTAGCCTCTCATAGTCTCAGGGTCATTTGTAATATGGGGTTAGTATCTGCATAGTGGAGACTGAAAGAAAAATGCCTGGTTTCTAGAAAGTGCAATAAATGCAAGCAATTTAGATCATGGGAAGCTATGTGGATGGAGGTGTGGAGAGAGGAGAGAGCAGGTGCACTAGCATTCTTGAGGATCTGAGGTTCCAGGGGAAAAAGCTGAAAACCTGATTATGAGGACCGAGTGTCACGAGATGATGGGGGAGGAGTGGGAGATGGAAAAGCTGTCCCAGGCTGAATGGGCTAAAGAATATAGTGCTAGATGTGTGTTCTGTGCTTTCAGAAACTCTAATAATTGGATGAAGGAGAAAAATGTCCCAGAGAAGGAAGGTTTGTGAAAGTAAGAGGAGGCTGGGGCAGCTCAGTCTCGGACATTGAGAGGGGAACCTTCAAGAGATAAGGTGTGGTCAGCAGTGCACATGTCAAACCCTGGCACCAAGACGACAGGGCTGAGAAAGAGGAGGTGCTCACATACTCCTGTCCCCAAATCCCACATCCTCCTTTGCCCCCATCCAAACCCCAGACCTGGACTCTTGCACAGGACCCCTCCATCTCTCCCCTCTCCATCCCCCACTAGCAGATAGTGTCTCAGCAATCAGCCCCTATGGCTGGAATTCATGGCCTTTCTCAATCTGGTTCTAACCATTTTTGTTTAATTTTCTAAATTAAAATGGGTATAAATGTTTTAGGTTAAATGAATCTCTTTTGTCATGCTGGAGTCCCAGCTATTAGGTGTGCCCATCACCCAAATAGCGTTCACTGGACCCGTTGCGTAGGTTTTTACCCTGGCTCCGGCCTTTCCCCCCACTGATTTCCACTGAGTTTTACCTGCCTCTGGGTAAAAATGTGTGCTCATCAGTTAGTTCCAATTTAATAATGAGTACATGTAACATTTGTTCCATCCATAAAAAAGAGATGAATTAGTACCTTTTGCAACAATCTGGATGGAACTGTAGAACATTCTCCCCAATGGTTCTAACCAGTTTTCATGTCCGTGTGATTCTCTAGTTATCTCAGTGAAACTTCTGAACCATGATGCAAAGACACGACCCCCAAAGGGATCCTAGTCTGGGCTGCAGGGGTCTCCTGCCACGGAGACACAGATCTTCCAGGCTAGCTGGCTTCCTCAGTGCCTGCCACACATGCCACCACCTTCTGCTCCAGCTGTTCCTCTGCTGGGAATGCCTTCCCTAATCCATTCTGCCTTCTACCTCCCACTCTTCCTCCTCATCTGACCAGTCCAGCCGTGGTTTTTTTTATGTGTTTATTGTCTTCCCTGCCAGGCTGAAGGCACAGGTGTGTCTCTTTTACATCTGTCCACAGGGTCTAGCACAGAGATGGTAAATGTTCAGGGCTTGACAAAATCCTGGACTCCTGATAGTGTCAGTGCTTTGGGAAAGAGAGTAAGCGTCCACCCAGCCAGGAGAAAGTAGGGATGGGCAGGCTGGTTTTTCTAATTTTCTGTGCTTTAAGATCAGAGTCTGCTCTACCTTCCACCAAGCTAATAAGGGGCAGGATGAAGACTAAAGCCTGGGACTCTGGCTGCATAGCCTGCCAGGCTCTGGACCACTGCGCCTCCTGCCTCTGACAAAGGCAAGGTAAAGCTGCAATTTCGTCTAGCCCTCTCGCCAGCTTAGCTCCTATTCTCATCCGCCCTCCTCGTTCCACCTGCCAGTGTTCCTCTGTTCCTGCTAGGCCCTGGGCTTCTGGTAGACAAGAAGGGAGAAGATGCCTCCCACTAGGGAGCCCCAAGACACTGTCTGGTGCGGAGGTGGGAAGGTGGCCCTGAGAGGGACGAGCACAAGTCAGGAAACGGCCATGAAAGTGCCCTGGACGCGGATGGGCTCCGCTCAGCAAGGGCAGTTCTCCCTCCGCTCCTCCCCAGTGAGTTGGGAGAGAAGACTGGGGTGGGGCTCCTTTGTCCATTGCTGGGGATGCCCAGGGAAGCAAACTTGCCCAGCCTCCCTCAGTGCCACCTACACATGCTTGTCCTTCTGCTTGAGTGGCCTCCTTCCCTCCTGTGGCAGCACCGGTCTGGTTTCTCTGTTGCATGCGGTGCGGGAGAAAGCAGTTCCTCCTCTCCTTAGCTCTGCAGGGGAACGCTGTGCTTCTCTTAAGTGTCCTGGACCAGGAGCAGCCCTGCAGCGAGGGATTTCCAGTTGGCAGATCCAAGGGTCCTGTTTGCATCAGAACAGGGCTGGAGAGTTTCCAGCCCCTGAAAAGCCCTGGGGACTCCCTGTCTGTGCTGGCAAACAGCACTAAGCCTCTGGGCGCGATGACACATACAGCCAGAAAGTTTAATGCCTCCGAGATATTTTCGGCTTGGATCTGGAGAGCTGGATATCCTTTTGAAGTTTCCATTGGGGACTGAAATTGCTTCCCACTGAGACCTCGGACGGGGGTCGGGAGGGGTGTCCGTGGCTGACTGCCACATCCCTGTGTGACACAGTGATGAAACTAATAAGATGTGCTGTGTTTCTTTCTCAAACACGTTTGTTTGTGTTTTACATCTTCGGGCATCTTATCCAAGGCTGCACAAGTCAAATAGGGGGACAACTAGGGCTTAGATACAATAGTCCCCCTTTACCCATGAGGGAGGAGGAGAAAATGCAGGTTCCCGACCACAAAGCAGAAACGCTGTGCAAACCTAGAATGCTCAGCAATATTGTTAGAAAGTAGACTGAACAGGTATCAGGAAAACTGCTCAGCACTTTCTTGCCCTGAATTTGTCAGCCCTACTGGCCCTGAGTGTTTTAGAGCTGCTTCAGTTGTCCTTAGCTAATTATAACACTAAAATTCCACCTAGTGGGAAAGTGTAATATCACTAACATAACATGGGTTGCAAGACAGTGTATGAGGATGGCACTGCGCCTGCATGAATTGTTTCACTATGAACAATCAAAATTATAATGTAAACACTTTGCATTGCTCCTAGGGCAGAGATTTAAAGCAACACCACAGTGGGCAGATGCTGATTTTGCATGCACGAAGCTCTGTGGAAGACATTCCTGTGCCCCAGGAGCAAGCGCCCTATTAAGTCACCTCTAATAAACTCACCTACGTCTCTGGCTGGTCTTACTTGAGTCATTCTTTCGCCTCTCATTCCCTCTTAGTTTGGGGGGTGATTTTTCTATACTGTTCTGAGATTTTCAAGGGACAGGGATTTTTCCAAGAACAGGTATTTGTTCCAAGATCCCAGTGGATGCCCCAAATCACAGCTAGGACTCAACCCTGTAGGCACTACGTTTTTCCCTATACATACATACGGATGAAAATGTTTAATTTATAAATTAGGTATGGTAAGAGATTCAAAACAGTAACTAGTAATAACATAGAACAATTACAACAATGTACTGTAATAAAAGTTATGTGAATGTGGTCTCTGTCTCAAAATATCTTGTACTATACTCACCCTTCTTGTGATGATGTCAATGATAAAATGCCTACGTGATGGGAGGAAGAGAGGTGGATGACGGGGATTTGTGCTGTAGTCTTAGGCTGCTATTGACCTTGAGCAAGAGCATCAGGGTGCCAGGACAGTGGATCTGACAACCAAGATGACCACTAACTTACTAAGTGGTGGGTGGCACATACAGTACGGATATGCTGGACAAAGGGATGCTTTGTGCCCCTGGTAGGATGGAGCGAGGTGGAGTGAGAATTTATCACACTGCTCACAACAGCACACAATTTAAAACTTAGGAATTGTTTGTTTCTGGAATTTTTCATGTCATATTTTTGGACCACAGTTGACTGCAGATAACTGAAACCATGGATAACAGGAACCACTATTATATAATTGCTCCTGATATTTATTAGTGTTTCCATAACTACCATACATTGAAGATCTACTAATTTCCCCAGATACCTACTCAGGGCCACATACCCTATTGTGGTATAAATGCTACCAAATCTATTACCATAACAGTACCTACCTACTATTGAACACCTTCTCTTATCAGATGCTACCTGGTCATTACTCCTAATATAATTAGCACATTGACTGCCAAAAAGAAAATATTTTTTCTGCTGGGACCACAGTGTTTTATTATGAAAATCGTATAAAAACCTCAAAAAAAGATTATTTTTAATAAAAAAATTTAATTAAAAAAATTTGTTATTTTTTATTGCTTTCTGTGGTGTTGCCCAGGGGGCCACTTACCACATAACATGGTAGGTGGCTACAGCATGGTCAGTTGCCTTCACACCATGCAGCTCCCAAGGTAAAGAGACATGTGAGTTACATATGCCTCTCAGGCTCAAAACCAGTGTAAGTTAAATACAACTCACATGGCAGTTAATGTGGTAATCGTCACAAGTTCGATAAGTCATTGATAGACTAAGAGGTTCA